CACCTTGACAGTCTTTCTGGAAGCCTCCTGCTGCTCCAGCCTGGTTTGTGTGCTTTTCGCCCTGCTGCCCAGGGCCCTCCCCACTTCACCTTAAGTGGCCTTGTTACCCCTAGTTAGGCTGCACCACCCTTTCCTGGAGACCATGTCCTCTGCTTCCTGGTGTAAGTCCTTGTTCTGGTGGTGTCCTCCTCTAGCAGCTTTTGATAGACAGAGGGAGCCTCTTCATGTCAGAAAGTCAGCAGCCCTCATACCTGATTCTACTCCAGCAGGAGCCAGACTTGCTTCACTCTCTTGCAGCTTTGGAGTTACTGCAGATAATTCTAGAGCCTTTCTGATTCCTGATCCTTTAAAAGGGACCCTGCCTGTTTCTTTCTCCCTGGCACAGAGGCCGTCTCCTCTTCGCCCAAGTGGTCTGGCGCGCTGGGCAGGCCCACATTCAACCACTGTGTCTGGCATGAGTGTGCCTTGGTGTAAGACTGTGTCTCTCTCTGGTCCTGGACAGTGTTGTTCTGCTACAGGGCAGGGCGCAGCTCACCGCGGCAAAGCAAATCTGCCTGCTCTAAATAGGTTCTGGTGTGCAGTGCATCGCAACAAAACATACTCCAGTGCATAAGACCATCAACAGAAAGGAATTTAATACAATTAGTGCATGATACAAGAGAAGGAATTTAGTTTAATACAGGAACCACTGAGGCCAGAAAGCTTGTCCCACATCTAAGACAGCTTCTGGTGGGGCCCCCCAGGGCAGGGGCAGAAGAGGCTGACAAGCCTGGGAGGAAGGTGCAAAATCCAACTCCATGTCAGGATAAAGGCTGCTGTTGTCAGCCTCGTCACGGGGCTCCCACCCACATCTCTGACTCTTTCAACTGTCTCAATCTGTTACAGGGCAGTGAGAGGGCCACCCCGAACCCCCAAACCTACCTGCTCTAAATAGGTTCTGTCACCTGCCAGATCAAGACAAAACATACAAGACCTTTAATGGAAGGGAACTTAATACAATCAGTGTGCAATCCAGAAAAGACAAAGAATATAGTTTCTAAATCAAACACCCAAAGTTACCCATCCCCTTATGAGTAAAAGTCCACCCCAAAGGGACTGGCCCAAAGCAAGGTCTGAAAGCCCGCCACAGTCTAAAGCACCTTCTGGCCGGGACCCATAGAAAAGGGTTAGAAATAGCCAGACAGGTCTGGGAGGAAAAGAGCGAAGTCAAAATCAAGATAAACACTGCCATGGTCACCTCCCCATGGGTCTCTCACCCACGTCTGTTCCACCCAGTCCAGGGCCAAGAAACAAGAGCCGCTTCCTCACCTGTGTCTGCCCCATGCGCCTCCCTCAGGCCTCCCTCTGGCTCTCCATCCTGCTTCCTTCTCCTCAGTCTCCTCCAGATTCTCCTCCCTGCTCAGCAATACCCTCCTTTGGGTGGGGCAGGGGAACTGGAACCTCCCCTTTTCCAGAGACCACCCTGTTATACTTCCATGACCCCCAAACCCCTGCCTGGTACAAGCCCAAAGCCAAGAAGCAAGAGTAGCTTCTTCACATGTCTCTGCTCCATGAACCTTTTCCAGTCTTTTTTCTCCATGTCTCTCCTCTTATTCCTCTTCCTCAGTTATTTTCCCAACTTCTCTTCCCTGCTTACTTCTACCCTTCCTTGGGTGGGGCAGGGAACCTGGAATCTCCCTTTTCTATGGCTATCACACTGTTACAATCGAATTCTTATGTTTTCTTTCCTCTATTTTCTCTTTTCGTTGTAAGTCTTTTCCATTATTCTCTTGGTCTATTTGTCCAATTTCTTATCTATTTTCCATCTCTGTCTTTCTGCTCTATTTCCTGTGATATTTTCTTTAACTCTTCCATTGCATTTTCTAGTTTTTATTTTCCTATTATTTGCTATTCAAGGGCACAAATACAGTGCTAGATGTAAACATTTCAGTATTGTGTGCATGCCCTCAACTGTGCTGAATGGCTGAGATACCCTGTTTTATCTGTTTATGAGAATAAACCTCAGTCTTGTGGAATGGGCCTGAGAGGGAATCCTGGGGTCCAGTTTCTTTTTTTTTTTTTTGTTCCTCTCTTAGGGAGGCAGGAGTATCACTTTGTAACAGTTGAATTTTGATCAGAGGAAGAAAAGAAGATAAGCTATTTATTATTTCTTTATTTATTTTTAAAGATTTATTTATTTGTGCATACAGAACTGGGGTACAGGCCAGAGGCTCAGGGGCGGCAAGAGGCCCCACCAGAGACAGAGTGGGGAGCAGAACAGGCAGATCAACGAAGTACACTGCTGAGGGGAGCAGTGGGCGGGTCAGGAGAGGTCTGCCTCGCCATGTGGTCACCTCCGGGGCAGGTGGGAATTGAACTCATGCGAAAGTGGCTTCAGCCTCTCAGTGCTGTGCTTTAACCCGCTGCGCCACCAGGGAGGACCAGATAAGCTATTCTTTTTTTGCCATATGAGAAAGGAGAGAGAACAAATATAATATATTACTAAAGGGTTTTCAGGTTTTTTTTAAAATAATATAATAGTTTATTTTTACATCATTTTGTACATTTTTTTAATCTCAATTGTAATCCCCAGTGATGACTTCCCATCACTGAGTCACGGAGTCACCTGTGTGCCATCACCATAGTCCTGTGCACTTCCCTCCCCCTGGTTTTTGATCCCATTCTCCACTCCACCCCCACAAAATGTCTCTGGTATATGGCTGCTCATTATTCTTATTATTTTCTCCCCTGTTCCGTTATACTCCTGCTATGAGTGAAACCATCCAGTATTTTTCCTTTTTGTTCTGGCTTATCTCACTAAGCATGATCTTTTCCAGCTCCATCCTTGTTGCTGCAAAAGACATGTGTTTCCTTCTTTTGGTTGCTGAGTAATATTCTATTGTGTATATGTACCACATCTTTTTAATCCAGTCATCCACTTTGGGGCATTTGGGGTCCAGTTTTTTAAAGAGATCTTTCTTTAATCTGGTTTAGCACTACCTTCACCCTGCTTCTAGATGTGCTTGGTGCTGTCCATTCCCGGGCCTTTGGTGACAGAATCTGGTGGCATTTCAGCCATTCTCACTGTCTTAACTTTTTTGGGTCTTCTTCATTAAAATATATATATATATATATATTTATTTATTTATTTATGCATACAAGAACTGGGGTACAAGCCAGAGGTGTGGGGGGTGAGAGGAGTCACCAGAGAGAGTGGGGAGCAGAACAGGCAGATCAATTGAAAATACACTGCAGAGGGGAGCAGCGGGATAGACAGGAGAAGTCTGACGGCCACTTGGGTCAGCTCCCTGGCCTCAGTGGCTGCCCACAGCTTCATAGTGCTTGCTTAACCCCTTGTGCCACCAGGGAGGCACTTCCTTCGATCTTCTAAGGCAATCACCACTCTTCAGTTTCCAACATTTTGTTGCCTTTGTCTCCTTTTCCATCCTCTGTCCCTGTGGTTTTATGCCCTTAACAAATAAATCCTCACCATAAATCCCCAGTCATTTCTCTGGGTTTGAAGAGAGAGCAGAGATGAGAGCCTGCAACCAACCATTCACCTTTTCACTTCCAGTTGTCAGCCTAGCTCCAGCTCCTAGCATATAGCTTAGCATGCAAGGGCCCTGTAAATATTGGTTGGTTGAATAAAGTGGTGAGTCACTGTCTTTCCCATCTTTGGTAACCAAAGGAGAGGAACCCTTTAAATGGAAATATCCTTACTTCTGGTATTTACTGCCGCTCCGTCTGGAGTTCACAAGCCCATCTGGATTATCTATTAGGCAACATTGTGCAATAAGAGGTGGTACCTGGACTCTTCCCACCGACGAAGTGTGCCACCTCGGACAAGCTACTTCCACCGTGGGATCTTAGTCCCTTCTGTAAAGTGGGAACAATAATAGCCTGTGATGCGTGCCACCTCGGACAAGCTACTTCCACCGTGGGATCTTAGTCCCTTCTGTAAAGTGGGAACAATAATAGCCTGTGATGCCTGGAGCGGAGGAAGTGCTCCCTTTATGGCGTGGAAGGGTTCAATTCAAAGTGACAATTCTTCGAAAGTCAGCGTTTTACTTAAGCTTAAAATTAGCCTTCACACTTGAATTGCAAATTGGGCCCTAATTAATGCCCTTGGGCGCAAAGTCTGTGTTTAAACACTCGAAGTTTAGCCAGAGATAGCGAGACCGTTCAGCTGAGAGGAAACTAACGTTAGTAGCAGAGGGTCTACCGCGAGCTGGCGCCCCTCCATCGTCTGGCCGGTGGGTGCAGAACGTACCTTGGAAGTTACTCACACACACTTACTCCGTGCGACCCGGAGACCCCCCCACCCCAACTTCGTCCTTGCCTGGCTCCGCCCCCAGCCCGAGAACCAATTTGTGGGAACCCGCTCAGTCCCCTCTAGCCTGCCGGGCCGAATCAGGCCGTCCCTGGGTCCCGGCATCCGGGTAGCCCCCGGCCGGGCTGCAAAGGATCTTAGGGAGAAACTGAGGCAGGGCCCTGGGCATGCACCTCCTTGCCCTCTAGGTCCGCCTCGACCCTC